ACGCAGGGTGATGGATTCCTCCAAAACCCCAACTAGATCATTACACATTCTATGGATGTGACAAATACTCATGTGTACCCTATAAATATGTAATATGTATCAATAATTTGTTTTAAAAATTAGTCTAAGCAAGCTTCTTCAAAAAATAAATCCTACTTCCTTCAATGTTCTGAAAACCCCACTGGCCAGCGAGTGTGACCTAAATATTGCTGACCTGGCTTGATACTATGCTTATGGTAGTGAGAGAGAGTCCCACTGTTTTGGCACATGGAGAGACACAACTGCAATCTCAGAGCTGCCTCTGAATGAGCTACTAAAGCAATGGTTCTCAACCCTAGGTGCATGCTCTAATGAACTGGGGAGTTTTAAAACACAGTGATCACGGGTCACCCCCCACCACCCACTTTTCATTTAATTGGTCTGGTGTTCATCCTGAGCAACAGCATTTTTTAAAAAAGATTAACAGATATTTTATTATAAAACCAAGATTGAAAATCACTCTACTAAAAGTTTCAGAATTCAATCTAATACTTTCATTATTTGTCATAGTAGATGTGGCTTTTGACTCTCACTTATGTTAATTTTTACACTATTGTTTGTAGTAATGAAAAATTACACTTGAGAAAGAGTAGCAGTTACTTTTGAATACAGGATGCTGAATAATATGCATGCAGTTATTTCCCCTTTTCCACTCAAGGAGGAGCAGTATCAGAAGGTCCACTCATTATTTTGAAATTTCCTCTCTTCACTTTGTGGGAAGGACAAATCCTTAAAATGTATCACTCCCTGCACAGCACACTTTGTTCCTGTTGTTTCATAATATTCAAAATTCAGAATGTTTCCATGACAATATCTCTTCTTTCTGTTCTACAAACGGATCCTCTCCCCAGTTCTTGAGGCATCACAGATCCTGCTGACCTGAGGAGACCAGTGTTTCCGAAGGACAAATGCACTGGAAGGGCACCTGTCAAGCTTTAATGCTAATATGGTCACCTGGGGACCTTGTTAAAATGCATATTCAGATCCTCTAGGTCTAGAGGGAGGCTAGAGATTCTGCATTTCTAACAAGCACCCAGGTGATGCCCATAGTGTCTCTACCTTTTCATTTGATGTTATTCATAAGGAATCCAAATTAAATAACTGATAAGACTATGTCATTTATAGACTGGGCATGGTGGTTCATGCCTGTAATCCCAGCACCACTGCACTGCAGCCTGGGCAACAGAGTGAAACTCAGCCTCCAAAAAAAAAAAAAAAAAAGGTAAAAGCAAAAACAAAAACAACTATGTCATTTATAGAAAGTTTTGTTTTCATGGTGTAGTGGTGAAAGCAGGCCTAAGCCTCTGCATTCAGTTTGATGCTCTGATGTCTCAATTTCCTTTGTTAAGTGGCAAACAAATAGGTTATACTTGACTTCGGTGGCAGTTTCCAACACAAAATAAGTCTTGAAGCTGAGTAATAATGGTAATATCACCACCCTATATTCAAGGCTTCAACCTTGGGAGCTCAATCTAGAAGTGTGTGTCACAGACATAGTTTTCTTGAATGGGCATTTGACTTGCTGTACACATTAAATACTTGAGAATGTATTATTACAATAGGGAATTCAGTCACACTCAGCTAGACAGCCTCTTAAGATTTTCAATTTAGAAGGATTTCCTGAACATTCCTGAAGCTGAATGGCAGCTGCTGTGCTATGTTAATTTTGAAAAATAGAATCTAATTGGTTTCACAGATAAATAGGGCATTTATTATTGGATGACAGCAACTCTGAAAGGGCAGTCCACAGAGGTTTTGATGACATTTCACAACCTGCTGATTTGGAGAAGCCATCAAGAAAACATAATTCTCCAGGGCCATAAGGTGGGGTGTGGTAATCTTCACTTCATAAGCCCACATCTGAACATTTCTTCTTCATCGTCTCTCCTGCAAACACCCAGCTCCTTTGAGGTTCATGGTACTTCACCATACCAAGGACAGGGACACCTCTTCCTGTCCTTACTGCTATCCTCACTGCTGTCCTCTACTGACTGCTAGTTTATTCCTTATGACTGCAGACTCTGGCTCCCAGTATACACACGGTTGTCCTCTGTAACCCAATAGTTGTCATGTATTTCCTGGACTTTATCATTCAAGTGGATGAACCAGTCAATGTCAGGGGCTCTTATTTTCTTGACTTACTCACTGGAGGTAATGAATTTTTGCCTCTACCCCACCTCAGTCACTCACTTCCTGAAATCTCCGAGCACTATCTCTTGGACTTCCAACAACCTTAGTTTAAATAGTCACACTGATAACTCTAAAAAGCAAAAGAAATCCGATCCACTGACCTCTACCTTTCTAACTGCTTAATGTCCTCCACTCCGTTAGCCTGCTCTGGTTTCTCTTTAAACTCAGACTAGATTTATAGTTACTCCCTTGAAAAGATCCTTAACTCTCTTATTCTCCATCATATCTGCTTGGCAAAACTCTAGTCCTGGAAGAACCCAGCTATCCATTTTCTCTGTCTCTGTATCCACGTTGGTGAAGGTTACTGTAGAAAAAAACCCAGAAAACTGAGCTCATTAGTGTCACCTTAAATTCACATGACCAGTGTGACCTATCAAAGACCAGTCTATCCACTTACGTGCTGGAGGGCTTCCCTTTTTGCATCCCAAGGGGCTATAGTTATGACCTTGTTCCACGACATCTCAAACTTCACAGGTTCAAACCTGAACTTTTTCCACCCAGACCTGTTCCCATTCACCTGGAAATTTGTAAATGGCACCATTACCCACCAGTTGCTCCAATGCAAAAATTGGGAGTCATTCTTGAGTCCTTGCTGTCCTTCACGTTTGACATAAAATCCTGCACCAACTCCTGTTCTCCAACATATTTCCTAAATCCATCTCCACCAGTATCAGGCTAGTCCAGGTGTCTATAATAATCTCACCTGAACTCTGCAAACATTTCCTAATGGGTCAGCATACTTTCTCTTTTGACCCTTTCCAAGCCATCCTCAACAGCAGCTAAGATCATCTTAAAATAGAAATCATCATAAAAATGTCTCTCATTAAAATCAGTGCTCCTTGTACTTAGAACTACAGCCACCTTCCTATGACATAAAAGGCCCTGAATGAGTCAGTCCCTGCTTCCCTCTCTAACCTCATCTGTAGATTGTCCACCCACAGCATCCTCTTCTAAAAGGAGAAAAGAACAACCGCTTTATGTACCTTGGGAACGTTCCATATGCTGTTCCCTCTCGATAGCAGAATAATTCACTCAGCCCTTGTTAAATTTATTTTGTAGTAATATTAGATGACTGTTTCTTTACTGTTTACTATTTCCTCCATTGGACAATAAGCTGCATGAGGGAAGAACCATATTTGTCTTGTCCATCACTGTCTCCACATTGTCTGGCAGTATAACTAAGGATGCAATAAAAATTTTTTGTTATGGAATGCATCGAAAAATGTCAGGATAAAAAGACATGTAATAATTCTCTAGATCAGACTTCTCTTTTTGTTGAAAAACTTGAGGGCCCTGAAGGGGTAGGTGATTTATCAATGTTATTGTTATGTTAATGTCTCAGTTACCTCAATGAAAAGGTTTCTGGCCCAGCAGGGATAATGGATCTCCTGATGTCCTATGGCCTTTATCAAACCTGCAGTCTTACACTTTCACATTTTTGGTGTATCCTCTTTCTCACTTTTATAACTCATTTACAATCCATTCTTTAAAATTTGTCTTCACCTGTCCTGTTTTTTCAGTATTAAAACAGAACTATGCTCATTCACCACATTTTCCATAGCATCAGTACAATAAAAAGTGATTTGAATAAAGCTTTTCATTTCCTTCCTGCACAATTTGCTCAAGTTATCATTCTCGATATTGTCTCATTTCCCCTGCTAAGAGGCAGAAAGTGCAGCCATCCCAATGGCAGCACATATAGTTACACTTATGTTCCTAAACACCCTGCAAATTATTTAGGACGGCTGTTTTTGTTGTTGTTTGTTTGTTTGTTTTCCCTTAAATGGCCTCTAAACTTTAAAGCAACCGAGAGAGACTCGGAGTAAAAAAATTATAGGGTTAAAGAAAGAAAAATAAATAAACAGAGATCAATAAAATAAAGAAATAATAAAGTGGAGAAAAAGGATGGGGAGATGGTTTAGAAAACAAAAAAGGTTCCAAGCAGCGGGGCTGTTAAAAGGACTAGAATCTAAGTCAGGAGGATGGGGGTTGGGGTGGGGCAGGAGCCTGAATTCTGTTTCTCCTACAGTGATGAGCGATAATTTACCATGGCCTGGACTGCCTTTCCATCTAAAAAACTAACTGCCCGAGGGGTAAAACTGACACCAGTCCTTCTCCACGGGGTAGGAGAGATAATAAATGGAAATCTCCCAACAAAAATTATCTTTATCTCTCTGCTCTATTTTCAGAGCAAGATTTTTAGGGCGGAATTTTCAACAAGTTTTGGCTGAGGCTGAACACAGGGCTGAAAGATAATTTAGGACAGTCAAAGAAGAGGCCAATTACTTTCCAACACAAATGGCCTAAACACACCACGATTACATTACTAGGAAATAAACAAAATGACTGCTAGAAATACCTGTTCGCAAAGCAGCACTGCATAATCTTCCATGAAATGCCCTGCATCAACCCAAAGTGGCAGGGACACTATGAAGGAAGCGAAAGTAACCTGCCAGTCCTTTCCCGCTGGGACACATCCTACCTGGGAAGTCTCCTGGCCTTCTTTCTCCTGGGCCCAACCTCAGGACTTCTCCGAAGCTCCAGGAGACCAAGAGGAGGAGGAGGAGGAATCAGTGAGACAGACACCCTTCACCCTTCTCACTTTCCACCTCAAGGTGCCAGGAGATCAGGGACCCCGCAGCTCAGGGCGGACACCCGCCGAGGGCGCGGAATCGGGGAGGAAGGATGCAGCGCGTGGCACCGACTGCATCTTGACCCTCAACTCCTCCGCCGCCGCCACCTCCTTTAGCGCTCCTCCCCGACCCGCTCACCTCCGCGTACCCCGCGCCCTCCGCGCCGGGCAGGGGCGAGCCTTGCAGCTCCCCGAGAGAGGCGCCGACTCCCCAAGGGCCCACCCAGGCGCCAGGGCCTAAGGACTGCACCTCCGACTGGTGGCTGCAGGGTGGCTGCGCGGCGGTCGCGCTCCAGCTGCTTCCCCGCCTCCCCGAGCTAGACCGCGTACAGCCGGGGCGGGGGAGGGAGGCAGGCGCGCGGGGGCCGGGCTGGCAGTGACGCGCCGCTAGGGGCTGCGCGCCTGGACGGCGCAGGGCGCCCGGGTTCCCGGGAACGCGGACTGGAGTCGGTTAGAGCGGTGGAACGCGGGGGAGGAGTCGGGAAGCTTGGAGGGGGCGGGATGTGTGTGGAGGGAGCTGGGGAGGGCCCAGGGCACCGAGGGGGGACCAGCAGTGAGTGCACGGGGGAGACCTCCACACGCGGCCGGCAGCTTTGCGCGCCCCTCTTTCGCGAGCGGCTGAGTGTCAGCCCTTTGCCTGGCCCCCCTGCGGGGTTCCTCCGTGGTCTTCCGGAGATTCTTTCTGAAGCAGCTCTAGAATAGTCAAGCCCATTTTTCTGCTCCATTTCTTTTTGTAATGTGGGGTCACTTTTCCGCTCTAGACGTTATTTTTCTTAAGCGACTCCCACTCCAACTCGCGCCACGGGCCTTGGTTCCCACCTCCCCAGTCTGAGTTTCTGACATGCCTCCGAGAAACTGCGCTTTTTTCTTTTGAAGGGTTCTTTTGCCTCACCTTTACCCCACCCCGAACGTCTTTTGACTGGACTGTGTCCTTGGAATTAAATGTGCTGAAATGCCCTTTCATGAAAACTCCCTCGGATAGAAGGACCCTCACAGACCACGGACTGCAGAGATTATTCTGTTGACTTTGACCTTCACTCTAGCTGGTGCCGCGCGACACTCTGGTGTGGCGTCAAGGAACGTTAGGCTGGGAGTCACGAGACCTGTGTTTCCGGGAAAGGTATTACCTTCTGGGGCCGCAATGGCTTTGATTGTTTCAGGGGATTCCCTAGAGCACCCTTGGCTCTGGGTTTCTGTAAAGTTCTCTCTGCAGATTCAAGTAAAGTGCCTTTTGTCTTGTGTAGAAGGTGTCAGTAGAAGAAGCAAGAGATCTTTATTCCCAAATATAAAATCAATTTACCAAAAATTCTCAAATTTGGGATTTTTAAAATACATTAGTAAAGTACCATTTCAACAAATTAAGTTTAAAAAGTATCACTCTAGGTGGTTTATTAACCAGACCAAAAAAAAAAAAAAACACAAAAACAAAAACAAAAACCAACAACGAGAGGGGGTCTTAGATCGATCACTGGGGCACTGCACTTTCCCCTTTGCAGTCTATACACAGAGTAACCTTTGCAAATGCTGCTTTGGAAATACATTCTTTGTTTGACTTAAAATGTAACCCCTCCCCTAGCGCCAAATATTATTAAGGTTTAAAGTTTAGGCAGAAGCTAAGGTTTTAACGATGTGTCCGGTTGTGGAACCATTGACAGCTGGTGGAATACTTTCCATTTTGGTTACTGGAAACAAGTGATTAAATCTAATATCAATTTTTAAAATTTCGCTTCAACAAAACTGTCAAATAATGAGACTCGTGGAGTTTTTTCTAGTAGTTCTTCTGTAGAACTTGTGGAGAAAATTCATGAATCTCAGCAGTTAACGAAAAGTATATAGCTTTTCCATTTACTGTAAAAAAAAAAAAAAAAAAAAAAACAAAACATAGTATTATATAACCTCCCCACATGGTTATTAAAAGAAATTGCACTTTCTAACTTCTAAAACCATAAATTATTGTGTAAAACATATAGGTAAGCCATATATTTTAAATATTTTTTAAAGCTGTCTCAACATGGGCTTTGACTATTGAGAAAAAATATAAAGTAATGTGAAATCCGTTTTCCCAATGAGAATCAATTGAGTCAACAGTTTGCAGTTTCCAGAAGTGATATCTCTTTTGCAGGCTTGAACTATTAAATAAGCAAATATCTTTGATGGAAAATCCAGTGTTACCAAATGTGTTGCAGAAGACTGTTAGTATTGATGCAAAGCATGATTTCTTTAACTTCTTTCCGTGGTAACTAGTTTTATCACTGTTTTTCAGTCGGAGTTGCAGAGTATGAAAATGATTTTGCAAGACGTTTCCAGGTCATGAGGTGCTCTCTGAGAAATTTCTTCTGCTCCCTAAAACAGTAAGTGACTCAACATAAGTGAAGCAATAATTTATTAAATGGATCTCTAGTGGCCTAGAGCCATTAACACAATTTTTTCCTTTGAAGTTATTATACAATTAAATAACTTTAGAGTGGTAGTTCCCAAAATGTGTAACTTTAGGCACTAGTTTGCCCAAACGCTGCTCTAGCAATTCATTCACTACAAAAATATTTATTGAGCCCCTTATACATGCCCTGACTGGCTCTGTAGAAACAGTGGTGAAGAAGACAGAGATATTTACTCGTCCTGATAGAAGTTACAGTTTGGTGAAAACGATAAATTAGTAACAAGTGCAAATACAATTTATACAGATTTATTTATACAAATAAAATAAAAGTAAGTCATGATGTAAATAGTAGATTTTGAGATAAACAATAAGTGGAATCTCTTCATTTTGAAGATCCACAATGTGTATTAATCAATTAAAGGCTCTGAAAATTCCTATAGTAAAAGGATTTTACTTAACCTGTTCCCCAAAACCCCAAATATGCTTTGATCAAATTTGTTTTTAAGCAGTGCTTTTAATAAAATACAATGATTTTTGTGAAATGCTGGTTCGTTTTAAAATCAAAGAATTCAATAAATGTAAAATTCTGTTAACATCACCTTAAATTTGTCAATGTACATCCATATACATCAATAGATTTATATATATGTAAATATAATTTGTTTGAAATAGACTGTGTTTGTACATGTTTATAGCAGGTCAATTCACAATTGCAAAAATGTGAAACCAGCCTAAATGCCCATTGACAGCAAGTGGGTAAAGAAAATGTAGTTTATATACACCACGGAATACTACTCAGTAATAAAAATTAATGAAATAATGGCATTCTCAGCAACCTGGATAGAATTGGAGATGATTATTCTAAGTGAAGCAACTCAGAGTGGAAAACTAAATATCATATGTTCTCATTCATAAGCTGAAGCTAAGCTAGGAGGCCGCAAAGGCATCAGAATGATATTATGGACTTTGGAGACTTGTGGGGAAGTGGGGTGAGGGATAAAAGACTACATATTGAGTGCAGCATACACTGCTCTGATGATGGGTACAACAAAATCTCAGAAATTACTACAAACGAATTTATCCATGTAACAAAAAACTACCTGTTCTCCAGAAACTATTGAAATAAAAAAGAAATTGTTTAAGTATGATTAAAAAAATACACTGTGTTTGAACACAAAATAATGTAGAAGCATTTATAAATCTATTAAAATGACTGAATGTACATCTGTACAAAACCCATATTTATAATTAACATTGTTTCATGAACATATTTCCAGAGATCAACATGGTCTAAAATCTTGTAATTCTTACTGATATAGTTCATATATTGGTATAGACTAGTTTTCTTTCTTTCTTTCTTTCTTTCTTTCTTTCTTTCTTTCTTTCTTTCTTTTTTTTTTTTTTTGAGATACGGTCTCAACTGTGGTCCAGGCTAAAGTGCAATGATTCATTCAAGGCTCACTGCAGCCTTAACCTCTTGAGCTCAAGTGATTCTCCTGCCTCAGCCTCCCAGAAGCCCGACTACAGGCACATGCCGCCACACCCAGCTAATTACTTATTACTTGTAGAGAGGGGAATCTCCATAGGTTGCCCAGGGTGGTCTTAAACTCCTAGGCTCAAGTGATCCTCCCACCTCATCATCTCCCTCACAAAGTGCCGTGATTACATGTGTGAGCCACTGTGTGTGGCCTAGAATAGTTTTCTTAACCCTAAACTTTAGGAAAATATATTTCTGACTCTTTTACTATTATAAGCAACACTGCTTTAACCTTCTTGAACAAATTACTCTTTGGGATAATAAGTGATGGAAATACTTTCTTGGGATATATTTTTAAATGTGGGTTGTTAAAAGAAATTTTATTTTTCTGTTTACATAGTCTCATATTTCTTTCTATAACAATTGAAAAATCGTTATGAAAAATATGGAGGTACTTTTATCTTTTAGATTCAGTATCTCATTGACACTGAATTTTATTATTTGTTTAAGTTGACTAAGGAAGCTTTAAAATGTGTATAATTTAAATATACCCATAGGAAATAGCAAAAATACCTGGAGGAATTTGATTGGATAGCTTTGGTCGTAAATCCATAAAAGGCCTCAAAGCTATTTCCTTCCCAATGTAGCTCTCCTCTGTGAGTTCTCCTAAACCAATTTTGTGGTAATTTAAAAAAATTATCTAAAATTAAAAGAATGCTCAGGAAAGTTCAACTTAAGCATTGGCTCTAGACCTGAGTTGGTATAGACCGGCAAAATTGACTGACCAACAATGAATAGGAGCTCAGTGTAAGAATAGCTGTGTTTGGGGGATCCCTGTAGGAAGGGAAAACTTTTCCAGCATTCAAAAGGAATATATCAGGGCAGAATATCAGCAGGGCTTTGGATTTCTTCATAGCTTTGAAGTAAGCAAGAAAAAATGGAGACAGTCAGTCTGACACATGTGCTTCCAGCATCTGACGACCTGGGCTGAATTCATGGATATTGCTAGCTATAGAGTTAAAAATTATAGAGTTTCTCTGATGGTAATGAGATAGACTCTCCTTAAATATAAAAATATAATCATATCCTAATGTCACAACATGTCTTCATATTGATTTTTAAATCTTCAAACACTGGTCAAGCCCATTCTCTCACTCAAAGAGCACTCAGCTCTTTCTGTCTGTTGCTGGAGATTTAACCTATGCACAGAACAGTGTTTACATTGCAGATATTCTTGAGGATATTAGAGCTCTCTAACAAACATTTTAAATGTGCATTTTTAAAAAAAATAAATTATGAAACATTATAATCTTAAACATTTCCAAATAATTAAATTTGATTCTGGATCTCATGGATGACCACCTTATAACTGAATACAACCATGTAATTTCAGAGCCCCTGTTTTTTGCATTTATCATTGCATTGGTGTGGTATTACCCTGTCAGACCTTAATGAGAAAATTCTTGCACCTGAATAAAAAGACAACTCAATTACAACATGGCCAAAGAATTTGAATACACATTTCTTCAAAGAAGATATACATGGCTAATAAGCAAATCAAAAGTTGCTCAACATCCATAATCTTTAGATAAAT